CCTTCCCTGTCCCTGTCCTCGGGTTGTTGGGTATGAACATGCAGGTGCCCCTTGGCTTCCAGAGAGGAGCTGCTATTGCAGGGCCTTCCTGTCTGGTGACCCAGTGAAACCTCTGCTCACACTGCAAACAGACCTCATGGGCTGCCTCCTTCTGTGGTAATGCAGTAGTGGACCTGTGCCTGGCCGTGTGTGTGTGTGGTGTGTGTGTGTGTGTGTGTGTGTGTGTGTGATTATATATAACTATATACTCATTTACTATGTTTATGTCTTTATGTGGATGCATTTTCTGTCTTATGAATGTAAATGCATGCATTTTCTGCAAATTTCTATGTTGTGCATGTGTGTTTGTGTAGCAGGAGTGAATGCTGGCTCTGTGTGTTTGACCACATCGCCATCCACTCTGTCCTATCAGTGTGTTACAGTTTAGTTATTTATTTAATAGAAAGAGAGTGGCTTATCTTGAGGACTACAGGAGGTGAGCAAGGGAAAAAAATAAAAAATAAACCCAGTCCTGTGTTGCTCTATTTTAAAAACCGCTCTGTGTTGTTATGGCAGCTAATTTTCCTTAAATGATTTAAGAAAACGGATCTGCCTAAAAGAACTGCAGCCAAGTTGTTATAGCAACACAGGCCTTTCTCCTCTAGGAAAAGGGGGGCCATCACCCCAGAGCATAGAAACTTCTCTAAACAGCAACCCTTGGGCTCTGAGGGACTCAGAGCACAGGAAGGGCATGGGGGGACCCATTCACCTCCCAGGAAGTTCAAGGGGCTCTTAGCAATAGCCCTGGCCATGTTCCAGTTCAGATCTCCTTGTCCTTCACCTTGACTCTTGCAGTAGGCACCTAGAGATCTCTCTTCTCCGAATTCCTCTCAGCTCCTCTGATCCACTGTCTCCACCGCAGCCTCAGTAATTTTCTAAAGCACACACTCTATTCATATTCATCTGTGCATTCGGCGTTCAGCATATTATTCTCCATGGAGCCACGTTCTGTGCTATGTCATAGGTGTGAATAGGTGTGTGCTTAACTGGCATGTCAGGAAGCTTGGCCTCTACCCCAGATCTCTCTTCTCCGAATTCCTCTCAGCTCCTCTGATCCACTGTCTCCACCGCAGCCTCAGTAATTTTCTAAAGCACACACTCTATTCATATTCATCTGTGCATTCGGCGTTCAGCATATTATTCTCCATGGAGCCACGTTCTGTGCTATGTCCTGGGTGTGAATAGGTCTCCCCAAGTAATGGGGAGACAGTGAAAGGTGTTAAGCATGAGAGGGAGACTCAGTTGGATTTAAATTTTAGAATGACTCTAGAGCAGCCGTGGGCAAACTACAGCCCGCGGGCCGGATCTGGCCCGTTTGAAATGAATAAAACTAAAAAAAAAAAGACCGTACCCTTTTATGTAATGATGTTTACTTTGAATTTATATTAGTTCACACAAACACTCCACCCATGCTTTTGTTCCGGCCCTCCGGTCCAGTTTAAGAACCCATTGTGGCCCTCGAGTCAAAAAGTTTGCCCACCCCTGCTCTAGAGTATCTAGTTTGGGATAGTGAATGGACGGCAATACTATTCATTGATCTCTTCCTTGCTCCACTGTGTTAGACGGCTCTCCATGGACTTATATTGATTCCAAGATTGAGAAAGGGTGTGTGCTGGAATTTTCCTGACAAGTGGCGTATTGTTTTATTGCCTTGATTTTTTTTTACAGTCATGATATTTAATTCAATTAAAACTCAATTTAAAAGAGGGCCTGGGACTTTGATTTTAATGAGAAAGGACCACTGGGACATGGAGGAAGCCACATTCCTTGGCTCAATGTTCAAAGTCATCCATGAGCTCTGCACGTCTGTCTCCCCGTCCCTCCACCCCATCCCGGGCTGCCCTCCTGAGGCTCCCTGTCATAAGCCCTGCATACTGACCTCAGCAGCCAGATCTCTCACCTCCATGCCATTGCTTAGCTTTCCCAGGAATGCCCTCTCCCTTTCCCTGTAACCTCCCTCATCTCCAAACCATAGCCATCTGATGGAGTATTACCCATTTGTAAAGGTGCAGTCCAAATTCCTTGAGAAATTTTCCTTCACCCTGGACAGTGTGGCTCAGTTGGTTGGAGCATCATCTGGTGCACCAAATGTCACTGGTTCGATTCCAGGTCAGGGCACATGCACAGGTTTTGGGTTCAATCCCCAGTAGGGGCATGCAGGAGGCAACTGATAGATGTTTCTCTCTTACATGGAAAGAGTGAGGCTGTGAGTGTAAAGGCCAGAAGCTGTCCTGGCAGCTCAGATAGCTCTGGGCAGAGTGATTATGATGACTATGTGACAGTCAAGGTCAGGAGAGAAATGCATTTAAAAGTAATAGGGCAGACCCTTGGGGCACTGCAGTGTTTGCAACTGGACACAATGACTCTTTAGTCAAATGTTAATTTGAATCAGATACAAATAATGTTTGTGGAGGATCTGCTACATATCAGGTACTGTACTAGGTGCTTTCACATAGCTTTTAAGTAGAGAGACCATAATTTATCATCCAAACTGGGAGACTTATAAGAGGAAAGGGGATGGTATTAACAAATACTCTAGGACAACAGGCATAAGCCACAACTATCCCCAGGCAAGCTGAAATGTATAACCATTCTACTTGTAGATCATAGTTGGTGCTTTTTTGGGTAATAAGACACAATTTGTAAATCTCTAGTTATGGGTATTTACTTGTTTAATATCTATTTCCCCACTAGGTTCCAAGGGTTCACTCACTATTAGAATCACAATGACTGGTATATAGAAATTACTTGGTAAGTATTTGTGGAAAGAATGGGGTAAAAGACAGGACAAGGACAGGGGGAGAAAGGAAGAGACCAAGGGAGATGGGGTCCTGTTCTAGGCCAGGTCCTCACTTGGGGCATAAAGGAGCCAACTTTCAGGAAGAGTACAGCCTACACAATGAGCTCAGCATCCAAGTGCGTTTATTAAGACCAACCAGCTGACAATCAACCTATTTGTGGCACCAAGAGTGCCCTGACAGCTCTGCAGCTCAGTCTTGTCTCATCTGTGTTCTGTGACATGAGTGATTGCCTGGTGGATTGTGAGAAGATCAATGAATTCTGATTTGTGATGGCAATGGCAGGCTGAAACCTAACCCCCTTCCTTTGATTCTTCCCCCATGCCTTGGCTCCCTGGTTCTCCCCTCCAGGATTCTACTAAAACACCCCTTTGTTCCTATTGTCAACCAGGTCAGAAAATGTGTCGGAGCTGTGCTCTTTAGGAAGAGGTGGCAGGGGAAGAAAGCACTGCGATTCTATCAGGGAAACTGTATTTTAAAAAAAGGGGGAAAAAAAAAAAAAAAAAAAAAGAAGAGGTGGCAGGGGAAGAAAGCACTGTGATTCTATCAGGGAAACTGCAGTTAACCCAGAGGTCGGGTGGAGGTGGGCAGGGGGGAACCCAGGGGACCATAAGCACTTCCTAGGAAACTTAGAAGCAGCTTCTGTCTGCCAAGAAAGCTGGTCAGGATGGCATCGAGGGTCCAGGGGAAGAACAGTGCTTGTGAGCAGTTAACACCTTTTGTAGACAGGGAAGGAGGAGCTGGAGAAGGAAGCACGTATAGGAAAGCAATGGCTACACAGGCACTGGCTAAAAAAGATTTAGGAAAGCCAAGTTCATAGGAGGATCAAGATAACAATCAAGTGAATTACATTGCACCCAAGGATTTACTTTTTCATTAACCCTTGCTCTAATATATGCATTTGTTTTAAGTACACATTTTTGGCTCCTTCATCTCATGAGACCTCCACAACTGAGCCCAGTATTTGTGAGGGCTGCTCAATATAATGCTGCTTTTTAATTTAGGATATTTTTATGGACATCTTCAAAGAGTTACACTGATGCATCTCTGAAATACCCCAACTCTGGGACTCTTGCTGTCTTAGCAATAACTACTTGTCACCTGGTGGCAGCCAGGGGCTCATAAAATTAGTCATCATCTGTAATCTCATTACAGCGTCTTCCAAACAACCGAGTCACCTCCATGCGCCATTTTTAACAGTGTCACTTAGCTTCAAGTTGAACACTTTCAGTAAGGCAAAGTTCACAGTGCACATACCCATTTTATCATCAGGCATCTCTAATTATTAGGAAGTTCTATTTTTCTTTAGGCCTTACTTCTGCCTTTGGCTTCTACCCAAATGATGTCTGTCCTGTTCTCTCCCACAGCCCCTCAGAGGCAGAATGATCATGGTCTGCCTCCTTTCTCTAAGTTATGAAACCTTAATGTATTCTATTTCTTACAAAATCTTGTCCCGATGAGTAAACTCAGTAGGGACACCCACTGGCCCCCTTCTCTCTGGAAGAGCCGGCCCTCTGGAACAAGGTCCAGAGCACCATGCTATAATCTCTTATCTGGTTCCTTGTTTTAGGTGGGAACAGGTTCACCACGCCACCACATCCCCAAGTCCAACCAGGTGCTTCCAGCAAGGTCATCCTGTCCTTACAGAACCTTGCCTTTTGGGTCAGGTTTGACTTGCCCAGAGATGGACATGTCCTCTAAACTAGGCCCTTCATAGTCTTTTTGGAACCGGGACTAGAACATGGGAGTGGGCCCCTCTACAGTGGTGGGAGCCACTGGGTGTGACATTTGGCACATGTTCCCTACAGGTGGAGGAGGCCAGCCTACAGCCTTCAATTATATGAGATACTCCGGTACTCTTCTAGTGAATAATCCATTAAGTTAGTTCAAGTCGTATTTCTTTGGCTTGTAACCAAAGAGCCCTGGGAAAGGTGGACCTGCTCCAGTATATTTTCTTCATCCCATGAGACCCCCACACCTGAGGCCAGTGTTTGTGAGCACTTGGGTTTGTCAATGCAGAGGAGACACGAGCAGACCCGGTTCCTCCCTGGTTTTGACCTTGTATTCCCAATTTGCAATTCCTAGTGAACTTCCCAGTACAACACTGCTCTTTCTTGGGTCAAGCAATAAGACCAGCAGCTGCCGAGGGGTTCGGTTACTTACTGGGTCGTTGTACATCTGGATGATGAGCTGTTTTACCCCATACAGGGTAGGGTGGGCCCATGGAGAGGGATCCAGCCAGTGACGGTTCAGGTCAAACCCCATCAGAGAGCACCTAGGCAATCCCCAAAGGCAGAGTCAGTACAAACAGAACAAGTCAAGCTGCTCACTTACCAAAACATAGTTAAGAGTAGGAACAGTCTTGTCACTCACCTGGCATTTATTCTTTTGCCAGAGACATTTTTAAGCATCTCACATGTATTAATTCATTCAGTGCTTTCAACAACCCTGTGGGGTCACTACAAGGATAATTAACACTTTACATAAGAAGAAACTGAGTCACAGAGAGGTTAAAATATTTCTGTGAAGGCCTTACTTCAGGGCCCATGCCCTGAGGCCACAGATACATGCACATCTCCTAGACAGGGCAGCAGAAAACATGCTCAGGCCAAAGCCACCGGCGTCCCCCTATTCCTTTCTCATACCCAGTTAGTTAGTCCATTGTCTCTATTTTCAAAATATATTCAGAACCCAACACCTTTGCATTACCTCAACTGATATCAACATGAGTTTGGACCAAGGTCCAGAGTAGCCTACATAATAAAAGGCTAATATGCAAATAGACCGAACAGCGGAACAACCGGTCACTATGATGTGCACTGACCACCAGGGGGCATGTGCGGAACTTGGCAGGTGTTGGCCACAGAGGGATGGTGGAACAGGTGAGCAGGGGCGCCAGACCTAGGGGGCACTGGTCGCTGTCATCAGGGCATGCCTCTGGTGGTTACTGAAAATGCTTTGCTCTTGGGCGCCACAGTCCTCCCCGGTGCTCGCAGTTGCTGCCGGCAGACAGGGGACTTATGGGGGGGGAGATGCGGGGAGGAGAGGGGGCATGGCGGGGGGGGGTGGGCTGGGGTGCAGAGGATGAGCTGAGACCCGCCCCTGTGCCTACGGCAGCCTCGTGGCCCACAGTTCCTTTCAAGGTGCATGAATTCGTGCACTGGGCCCCTAGTTACGTTATAATCTGTTATCTGGTTTCCTTGTTTCCACACCTGCATCCTCCCACTTCACTTTAAACACTATAGCCCTCCCCACACCCCACACCCCATTTCCCACACAACAGCCAGTGTGATCCTCTTAAGACATAAGTCAGATTGTGTCCCTTCTCCTTGTGGTCCATCCTGCTGACCTCTCTGACTTCAGCTCCTACCAGCCCTTCTTGCTGCCTCTATGCCAGACACTGCCTCCTCTCTGCTCCTCCAACACCTCATGTTCCTCCTGACTCAGGGGGGTTATACAGGCTGTCCTTCTTCCTGGAATTCTCTGCCTCCAGATAGCCGAGTGACTGACTCATCCTCATTTATTTCAAATATTTGACTAAATGTCATCTGCTCAGAGAAGGCTACCTGCCCACCTTCTCCATACCCTCCCTTGGGCATTAAAGACCTTCGCTAGGGCAAATGTGATCGTGACTTCTGCTTCTCCATCTCTCTCTCTCCCTCCTTTTCTTACTCCAGATCTGCTCAAAGCCCTGCTCGTACTTGGGAGAGGTACCTCCTCCAGGCCTCTGTCCCTAGGCCTCCATCTGCTGGGCCTGTGCACACTGCAGGCACTGCCCAGGCCAGCACAAGCTCAGGTACAACCTCCAGAAACCCTGTGCTTGCTCCCAAGTCAAATCACCACTCTCCTCCTCTCCATTGCAGCCTCCTCCTGTCCTGAGAATGTCTCCCACCCTCATCCATCTTGTTTTCCTGATCAAGATTCGCCTATGGCTCTCCATTACCTGCAGGATAAAATTCTGCTTTTTGCAGGTTTTTAACCACCATCAAACAGATAATGGCAATTATCTCTTTCTCTGCCCAAATTGGCCCCCTTTTTCTTATCTGCCCCTCTGTCACACTATTTTACATCCCCATCTTATTTTTCAAGCTCCTCTATTTCCCTAAGTAATACAATTTATCCCCTCAGATTACTGCATTTGCATCCCAACCTATCACCCTACTCAGAAAAATAACGGACTCCACTGGGGACCCACCTCTCCTTCGAGATGGTTGGGGTGGAGATGGTGAGTAAATAATAATGATTTCCTCCTATTACTTAAAATCAGCATGTTGGGGACCCTATGGTAGATAACCAATGTTTTGTGGGGACCCATGGGGAAAGGCTTCATTGAGGAAAAGCCATTTGAGTTGGGCCATGAATTTTTCCAGGTGTTGGGGATGGAAGGGACAGTGTAAGTAAGGAAAGGAACTGTGAAGCCCCCTAGGATGTTGGGGGAATGGCAGACAGTTTGGTTTGACTGAATCACAGAGTACGCAGTGAGTGGGTGGTGATGGCGAAGCTGTGGAGGGAGAAGGGGGTGAAGGGCCTTGAAGGCCTGACACGGAGTTTTGTTATTTTGTCTTTGTATTACTGTGTTTAGACCAACCAAGTGCTGGTGTTGCCTTCTCATTGATTGCAGTGAGAACAGAGACAGCCCTGAATACAGGTTACATCACCATCACCATCAAGGGAACACAATGGAGCATCTACTGACATTACTTTGCCCCAAGAGTTAAGTACTTTACTAGTACAAAATACTTTCTCTAAGTTGATGTTATGGGGCAGATTCTACTATTATACCCATTTTGCAGATGTGGAGACTGAAGCACAGAGAGGCTATAAACAACTTGCTTGAGAAGAAGTGATGTCAGGATTGTTGCACAAGCAGTTGGACAGCCCCTCCCTCAGGGTGCATAGTCTAATGGGAGAAAGAAGATATACTCACAGGCTCATGTCCATTTATAATTCAGGACAATGTTGTGAGGATTAAATGACATAACACATGTAACCAACTTAATTTAGCACAGATTCTGACACATAATAGCAGCTCAAAATGTTATATTGCTGTATAGTTTTGTGCTACATCCTGTATGACTAATAACCTTACAGTCCATCGGGGGCTTGAGTGGACAGCGGACAGCAATGGTCAGGATGACATCCCATCTTTTCCTCAGTCTGGGAACTGAGTTCATTTCTGTGCTCTGTGCCCTCCCAACATAGGAGGCATTTGTCCATTTTCTTTGGGGAATACCTGGCATGAAACCTTGTGATTAGATGGAGTGTGTTTGTGGTGGGGTGGGAGGGTTCCCTTTCCATGGTTCCAAGATGATGAGTCTTCTCCCACCACAGAGACATATGGGCCGATGCTCCCTCATTATGACCTGGCAACCAGGGTGACAGCAGGGAACCCAGATCAGCTGCACCCGCCTGGACTTAAACTTGGACGAGGTGATGCAAGGCTGGAGGGGTCATATGGCAGTGTTATCACAGAACAGCGGTAGAGCATTCCTGCCAACAGCCAGTTTTCATCCTCCAGGCCCACTCTATTCATTGTTTCTCAAGTCTGAATCTTCAGCTTTGGCTTTATTCTAAACTCCTTCCAACAAATTCCCTTTTTGCTTTAGTGGCTGGAGTCAGTTCTTGCTTTTTTAATGGAAAGCATCCCTAACCATATGGCTCTGAAAGTCAATTTATTAACCACTCCATCAGGCCTCTGTATTGTCCTCTTCCCAGTGGCTCGTCACCAGACAGGTGGGACCTCGGTCTGAATTCTGTGCCCACAGAGTTTTCCCAGCCCCTCCAGAGCACCTAAAAATTTGGAAAGGAACACTGTCATTGATAACAGGACTTAATCCTTAACAACTGTATCCTTAGAGACAGTTAGCTTACCTACGGCTCCTCTGCCTCCAAGTAGGAATGTCTGCAGCAATGTCTTGGCTAGGTCACCAGTCTGTTCCATGACATTTCTATGACCCGGAGCTCCCCACCTCCCACAGTCAGCTTATCTCATTCTTAGACGGCTCTGTTAGGAAAGTCGTCCTTCCTGTTAGCTGAAGTTTGTCTTCCAGGGACGTCCTCCCTCCGTTTTTGCCTCATGTGAGTGGAGTCGCCCAGAGCAAGGAGGCTACACTGTGAAGACCAGGGACTCTGGGAGTCACAGTGAGATTTAAATTTGGGCTGTACTCTTTACCAGCTACGTGACCTTTTTAAATTTTCTTTTTTAAAAACTTCTCTGGGTTTCTGTTTTATCATATGTATAATTAGTATAACAACCTTGACCTTCTGGATTGTTTACATGAATGAATGTAAATAGCCTGGCAGGATCCTCAGGAGAGAGAATATTGACTAAATGGTGGCCAGTGGTGGGGATTGCGGGCTTGTTGAAATTGTCATCTCCTAACTATCATCTCCTGCAGGAAGGCTTCTTGACTTATTCTCTGTAATGTGATAGGTGCTTCCTTCTGCTCCTATAGTATCCATCGCTCACCCCCTCAGAGTGTATACAGCACAAGATGCAGTCATGGCGGAGTCTGTCTTCCCCATGGGACCATGAATTCCTTCAGGGCAAGGACAATGTCATGTTCATGCTTGTATTCCCATGCCTGACAAAGAACCAGAACTATGGTAGACACTGAAGACGTCGTTGAGTGAACATTTCTTTCTTTCCCAAGCATTTTCCTGTATCACATGATATATTCCCATAGTCACCAGACACATAGATGGGCTCCGTTAACAAGTGGGCGTGTTAGGAGCCAGAGATGGTGAGCCACTCTTCCAAGGTTACTTCACCACTCCTCCACAGGCCCAGGCCAGAATCCAGGTGTCCTGGCCCTGTGCCCTGTGGTCTGTCCATGTGGCCATGTTGCTTCCAGGAAGCCTCTTTGATTAAAAAAAACGTGACATTCAAAACTGAAGGAAGAGTGTTCAGGTGAGAGATCCTGAAAGACTAGCCCCATGATCCAACCATCTGCTGAAAATAGTGTGACTGCCAATTCAAAGGCAACATGAATCTTCAGAGGATCCCAGAGTCCTTCAGAAGTGTGAGCATTTGTGAAACTCTTTAATGGGTAGTATCAGCGCTGGATGCTTTTTGAACTGACTTTTAAAGAATGCTTCTAATGGCAACCCATCTATCAGTAGGTGGGTTGCCCGGGTTCTTGTCCCAGCATCAAGAAGGGTTCAGGAATCTGGAAAAGGCTGTGCGTAGATAACACAGGAATCCACTAATAAAGAGTCCAGAGATGAGATATAATTTTGAAAGGCATTGGGGGTCAGAGGAGCTTCAGCTAAAGG